GTGCGGTGAAAGCTTGAGTTGAAGCTGAAAATGTAACTGCATTTCACTTCAATCTCAATCTCCTTTGCTTTCATCCACCGCCTTGGATTTGCTTCTCGAATCTTCTCAATTCACTTTTGCAGGTTCGTTTTTCTTTTTTTGCCTTCTTTTTCTTGTTCCTCAAGGCTTTTCGATTATATTGTTGATTCTAGTTTAGTTTATTGTTTCAGCCAAGCGATTTTTTCGTGCTTAATTTGTTCAATATTCGATTCTGCGAGTGATTATGTTTGTTTTAGTTTAGTTAATCGTTTAAACTAGTGATTTTTTCGTGCTTAATTTGTTCCACTGATACACATTTGGTTCCGTAAGTGATTATCGTTGGTTATAGCTTAATTTAAGCAAGTGCAAGTAATTTTTTGGTGCTTAATTTTAGATACACTGAATTCAAAATCTTAGATACTTATCAGATTAATTCCATAAACTTAATTTTCAGTTCAGGTGTTTGTTGTTTAATAATTCTTTCAAGCTCAAGGTAAGGTTTCCAGAATCTTGTTACTGCCTTATAACATATTGTTGATTCTAGTTTACTTTATAGTTTAAGCAAGCAATTTGTTCCTTAATTTTTTTTTTAGTTTTACTGAAAATGAGATAGAGATATGGCAAGAATAATAGATACAATCAATTTAAGATTATTAGATATAGGTTTTAAATATGTAATGTATAGATAAAAATATGAGAAAAGAAGTGATATAATTATACCTCACTTTTATTTTAAATTTTTTTAATGACATGATAATTTATTGATTTTTTATTGGTTGATCGTGTAAAATAATTTTATATCGACCGTGTATAAATATTATTCTCTAAAAAAATACCACTTTTTTATTTAATAAATTTTTTTTTACAAGATTAAAATTAAATATTAACAATTTCATATACTAAAATAAAAGTGATATATTTTATGTTAATAAAAATAAATCCATGTACATATGGCAACAATGCAAATCCCCACCGCAAGCACAATGGCCTCAAGTGCAACCAGATCTGCAATTTAAAACAATGCTTTCGATATAGTAGAAACTTATGAGATTAATTAGATTGAGAATTTGAATTTTCAGCTCAGATGTTTATTTGAACATTAATATGTTGCGTTTCTGTTTCTGCCTTATAATAATTCCTTCACACCCAAGGTAACGTTTCAAAAATCTTGTCACATATTTTTCCTTTATTACATTTCCTGTTTTTTATGTGCTTATCTAATATCTGTAATCTTTTAACATGATATTTGTGCCTCCATGATTAATCAAGAATTTGTGATTGTGTATGTTATCATTTTGTAACCTCTCTATAAATGGAATGGAGCATTGATCTTGCCTCCTAAATCCGGAATAAAAGTATAGGTCTGCATGATATATACAACATGCGGTTTTTATGGCCATTAGAATCACAACTCTTCCATCTTGTATATCATGCATACCTTCAAGATGTTGAAACCAAATTTCTAACCATCTTGTGATATATACAAGTATCGGTGTAGGTGTCCGAAACGGACACAGAGACGTACCTTTTTTAGAGGTGTCGCTGCTACATAGCTGCTAATTATTTCTGGAATATAATTCTTTGTCGATGATGAAATCTAACAGGACCTAATCAGTTGCATTCATAACTTTCAATGGACAAAAGCTCAGTGGAATCTCCTGATAATGGAACTGAAACTATTACAAGAAAGCAGATCTTCTGTAACCGGCCCCTGAATATGAAGAACGTTAATGCTGTGGGATTTGACATGGATTACACCTTGGCGCAATACAAGGCTGAAACTTTTGAATCTCTTGCTTATGAACACACAGTCCGAAAGCTCGTAGATAATTTTAAGTATCCTAGTGAGGTTTGTCCAATTAGTATTGAACTATTTCTACCATATTAAAATGTTTTTTCCTCGTCAGTGATGACAGAAACGTGTTATATATATTTTTTTAGAGTTTATTTACTCACTTTTTTCCCTGCAGCTACTTGATTTGTCTTTTAACTCGAACTACATGGTTAGAGGTTTGGTTCTTGACAAAAAGAGAGGCAACATTTTGAAGGTCAAGATCAAACAAATGTTTTATACCTGTCGATATTTACAACAGAAAAAGGATATAAGAAAATTGCATGGATTTTTTCTAATATCCTTTTTTACCACTTCATGTATTTAGATGGATTGCCACAAATATGTGAAAGTAGCTTATCATGGATTCGAAGAATTGTCAAAAGAAGACAAAGTTCAGGCCTATGGAAAGTTTTTTGTGTCAAATTCTTTTGATGAGCCGGAATACGCTCTAGTAGACACACTCTTTTCACTAGCCGAAGCCTACTTATTTGCGCAACTGGTTGATTTTAAGGATCACAATCCTGAGAAGATTCCACAGTCTGTTGAGTAAGTCTTGTAATTCTTTGCACGAGTCTTCTTTTAATCAATTGTATATGCCTGAATTCTTGAGATCAACTGCATCTTGTTTATGAGCTGTCATTCCAGTTATGCCTGTATCTACAAAGATGTTCGAAATGCAGTAGATATGTGCCACCGAGATGGAACCTTGAAGCAAAAGGTTGCAGAGGATCCCGAGAGGTATAGATGTAAAATCACTAGCACATCATAATGAAAAATGGAAAACAATTAGTGTTATTTAAATATCATAGTTAGTCATACCACTGATTTTATGTTAAATTTATGCGGTAAAAAATTTAATATATCTTTGAGTTCACGATGAAATTATCAGGTATATCAATGAAGACAAGTCAATAGTCCCCATGCTAAAAATGCTTAAAGAGTCCGGACGAATTACATTTTTGGTGACAAACAGGTAATGATGATTAATGTCACAAACCATTCATGCGCCTTTTGCGAAAGCCATTTCTTGATAAGGAAAATGCATTGTTCTTATAAAAAAAAATATATATACTTGTACTAAGGTTTCTTTCTCTACAAGAAATTATCTAAAATTTTAAAGACTCTTCTCTATCTCTTACAGTTTATGGGACTATACATGTGTTGTCATGAATTTCATCTTCGGATCTAATAGGGTGAATGATGATTCCAAATTCGAATGGCTTCAATACTTTGATGTTGTCATCACTGGCAGCGCGAAGCCAAATTATTTTCAGGAAGATAATCATGCTAACCTGTTTGAGGTCGAGCCTGAGAGTGGAGTGCTTCTTAATACAAACAATGGCTCTCCTCTACCTCAGGTCGCACCAACGTACATCAAATCACTGTATTAATTTCTTGAGTGATATTGCTCTAAAATTCGTCTTTTTTTGCACATCTTGTTAAAGGTTGGTAGTTTCGCAGCAAGGGTATCAACAAAAGATAAGAACAGTGTTCATAAGGTTTTCCAGGTATATTGATATTTACTTGTGAGTCATCTGATTAAAAATTAAAATTTATACTTCGGTATTTTATTACAATACATAGTGATTCCGTTTTAGGGAGGCAATGTCAGTCATCTGTATCCATTACTTGATATAGGATCAAGCTCGCAGGTATTAATTGTTCTTTTATGAAAATTTATACATGGCAGATATCATTTTATGAATTCTAAGTTGCGACGTTTACATGAACATTTTGTGAACCTGGTAATACTTGCAGATTTTGTATGTTGGAGATCATATATATGGAGATATACTGAGCAGCAAAAAAACTCTTGGTATATTAGTTTTTGTCACTCTTCTATTAAATAGATTAGATTTTTTCATCATTTGGGGATTATCTTCATTATGGTTCAACATATTCGTGAGCAGGTTGGAGAACAATGTTGGTTATCCCGGAGCTTGAGACCGAGGTTCAACTCCTCCAGAAACTGAAGGATGATCGCAAGGTGTGCTTTTCCGTTTGTATGTTCATCTCTCAGTCAATACCACCCTAAAAAGCTAAATAGACATTTCAGGTCATAAGATTTTTCTTTAAAAAATTAGTTTTGTTTGCAGGAACTTAGATCTCTGAGGAGCCGCTGCGCTGACATTGAGGATGAAATGCATCATTTGAATCAATCTCTCAAGTAAGTATATATACTAACTTCGGGCCTTGCTAGTCATGTTGTATTATCTGATTGCATTTTTACATTAGACTACAATTTTTCAGATTGGACTGTCCAGATGAAGATACCAAGCAGGAGTTAAATTCAGAAATCGATCGATTGGAGGTTAGGCCTTTTAGGTTCATTTTCTGTTTCTCTCATGTTATATTCTTAGAAGTCGAATCAGGGCACTTGTTTTTAAGTAGCTAATAGTTTTTTTATCAGGTTGAAAGAAAGAAAGCGCGATTAGATCATCAAGAAGCCCTAAGAGAGTTACATCAACAGGTAGAAAACCTGTATCCTTTTCCTATTATCACTAGTTCTCGTTCTGCTAGTCGAGTGCACACATTATATTTAAAATAAATGTTGCAGTTTCATCAACCATGGGGACAACTGATGAGGACTGGTTATCAGAACTCTCGCTTTGCTCAACAGGTAAAGATCATCACTCCTCGGTGCTGCACAACATTATTATTGCTGTTTATTTTCATGCTTTTATAGCCGTTCCTTTAGGGCCTTCTGTCTAACTTGGGTGTAATGTGCATGATGAAGGTTAAGAGATTTGCCTGTCTTTATACAAGCAAAGTATCCAACTTGGGCATGTTTTCACCGGATAAATACTATAGACCTAGTGAAGATTTTATGCAACACGAATATGGCATTATGGAAAGCTGATCTCTCCAACTATCTGTCCGGTTTATGTCTTCTCGACTTTCCATATCTGTTGTTAGTAAAGTCGGTACATGAAGGTTTGAACTCTATTATGAGGGTAAAATATGATGCTTATTAGATTTTTGTTTTGTTGGATACTTCACTAGAGGGTAAAATGTTGATGCTTATTAAAATAACAGAACTGCTAAACTAGTAGATATAACTGTATTATTACTTATATTGGACATTAATTAAAACTGATTAAACTCATCTACAATCTTTCTTCTCTGTGTTGTTCTCTCCTTGGGCGCTTTAATTACATGATTTGGGTTCCACTCTAGGCTTCACTATAACAGGATACCTCTTCTGAGTCCTAGTGGTTGGAAAAAACACCAACTTATCTTCTTCTGCAGGAGACCAACTGAGGCGCACAAATTAAACAAAACATTAGCATACAAAAATAGAAAAGATCCTGCAACTTAATAAACATGAGAATAAGCAAAATTTTGTGGTTGCATTGTACCTGTAACGAGTGACAAAGCGGTGAAGAAAGACCGAGAGCACAACTCTGGCTAGCTCGTATCCAGGGCACAGCCGCGGTCCTCCTCCAAACGGTGTATATACATTTGCAGGACTAGTTGCTTCTGATTTTCTCTGCAATTTTCATTATTAAGTAACTTGACAACTTGACACATAGCAATTTAAGGGTATGATCAGGGTTCAAAAAACAAGATATGCCGTTACATTAATGAGAATTTATGTCTCTGCCAGTGATATTAATATTGTGCATATTAGCTGCATTTGACCACAATCTTCCATATTAGAAAAGAGTGTGTAATTGTGGTCACGGCCGAAATTTAAAACCTCGGATAATATTAGACAGAGCAAAGGTATTATCTATTTTTGAAGGGAGAGAAATTCAATTATGGGCTATAAAGTCTCGTTGAGCCATAGTTTTTTAAGGATATTTTTGTGTAAATCGAGCATCTTTGCAACTTCAGAGACTTATCTTTCATGGCGAAAGACTATCAAGATAAAATGAGAGTGCGAGCTACCTGCCATCTCCATGGATTGAAGGTGCGGGCGTCCTTGAAATGGTCAGGATTTAGATGTACCGCACGAAAGGATGCAAAGACCTTCCATCCCTTTGGAATTGTGTAACCTATATCATAAGTAAAAAAAATTAGAAATTTAAATATATGTTTTACTTTAAGTTATGTTTTGTCCATGATTATATATAATATTAGATATACTTATACCTTTGATATTGATGTCTGTCATTGCTCTCCTAAATATCCCACCAATTATATTTGCCATCCTTAAAGTCTCATTCACAACCTATAATAACAAAACAACATATGTTTGAGCTTTTTGTATCTAAAATGAGTTTTACTTTTGATGTTTTGAATCAGCAAAGCTTTAATGATCTTACACATTGAGTAAATGCCATTGACTTATAATCTGTCCACTCCAATGGTTCATCTCGACAACTCTTCTTTGCGATGATTTGATCATGTTCTTCCTGTCAAAACAAAACACAAACCAGGTCTCATATCAAACTCCGTAATTAGTAACTTAGGATTATAAATATAATCTTATGTTACATAATTGACCACGCATTCTATTCTTAATGATACTCATAACCTTTGATTGCATTTACATCGATTTTAGTCAACAAAAAGTTCTTGAAATGAGCAAAGCACGAGTTCTAATGGAACAGTAGAGGAGGGACCAAAACAGAACTAGCTAGTTCTCCATAAAAGGGCAGACACAGACCAAGTTGTCTTTATGAAATGACTCATAAGTCCCTGAATCAGTTCTGGTAATTTTTCTCTGAATTTTTTACTACTGACACCAAAATTACTAAGCTTGTAGTTAAGACAGGTCCACAAAATTTGACTTTGTGGGGGGAGTACAGTATTTATCTAACACTTTTTTGGTTTTTTACTCTTTCCAAGCCAATGCATGAGTTTCAAGTTTTTAACCGTATTCACTGTACTCTAAAGTTGTAGGAGACAGTCTTTATAGGGGACAGTCTTTTAACTCCAAGTTTCAATATTACTGATTCAAAACTGCTTAATACTCCTAGTAGATACAAAGAAAAAAACACATTGTTTAAAGTTCGGCCGTGACATAAGTAAAATCTATCAATAATTATTATTGTCAGAAATTTGAATTCAAATTCTCCAACCATCCGTCTTTAACTAAGATCATTAATTACTTAATATCAAGTTTAAGAGTCTAGTTTAAAATTTGTTGGACCACTTGCTATCAGGTTTCCGTTATCAGACCATCCATTATTTATTTTCACGCAAAGAGGATGTTAAGGAGGGTGTTAAGAAAGTATAACTCAAAAATCAAAATTAGGCCAATAATATAGCTAGCAGCTATAGGGTTGGTGGAAGTGGAGAGAAGCAGATAATGAAAATGAGGTTACAACTTATACAAAGGAAAACACACCACATGAACGATGGTGATGGACATGGACACTGGTGGGGTAATTCTAAGGATGGACCTATATCTATACCTTCCACTACCCTAGCTAAATATAGAAACAAAATAAACATAATTACAAGAACACCACATATGTATTGGCATTATTGTTTTGCACAATTATCTAGTTAAATTAGTACTAGTAAAGCATCACTTATTCACTAGTTAAGTTTGTTTTGTGTACCTTGAGTTGTGCCAATGCTAGAGGATTTTCAGTGAGAAACTTGACTGCGAAAGTCATTATGGTAGAGGTGGTTTCGTAGCCGGCGACGAGCAATGCCAACATAAAATCGACTATTTGCTCGTCGGAAAAGTGGTCGCCGGAGGCCAACAATGCACCTAGCATGTCATTCTTTTTCTCCCCCGTTACACTTTCTTTTCTTCTCTGCCTCACAATCAATGTTAATGCCTCAGCCACCTTTGTTCTCGCCTACATAATTAACATATAATACCTCAGTCAATTAGTACTACTTCATAATGCATTGACATTAGTAAAACATAACATAATTCAATTTTATAAAGTTGCATAATAATAGAGTCTATTCATTCCTAGGTGTGTGTGCTTAGTAAACAACTTAATTTACATATGCATATGCACGTATATGACCAAACTCACCCCGACTCTTGACCAAAAGGGCAGGGAGAGGCCAAACCTACCCCTAACCCTTGTATTGCCACACCTAATCAAGTGGGGTCCAATTCAAACTAAAATAATTGAATGTAGACACATTTACTAAAATTCTTGGAGATATATGAGGTAGTAATATCAATAATGGAAAGAAAGTTGCACGTGTGTACCTTGATTGCTCTGCGGTAGGTACTAGAAAGTATTGGTAAGGGAAGTGTGAAAAATCCTTCGATCACAAGCACATATTCTTTCCTAAGACTCTCACTCCATTCACCTGGATCAAAACTCATAAGCTGCTTCACTGTCAACTCAAACGTTATCTGCAAATTAATCAAACAAAACCAAATAATAGTTTTCAATCCTTATACAAGTACAGTATATATCTTAAATCACTTGTTAGCATAACTTAATTAATTTAATTAATAAATAATACACAACCTTTATAGGGAATGATTATATTCTTTCTAGGCATTAATAAATTATCTAATGTGGGGCCTCATATTTATGCATAGAATTAGAGTTAGACACACACATGGAATCTGAGTCATTAACGTCACATGCTAACATAATCAGATCAAAAACTAATTAATCAACCTTATTAGTACTAATCAATCCAAAATTAGATAAAGATGTTAGAAAATGTTTTGGATGAACTTTTAACTAAATAAATAAAACAAACAAAGTCCAAATAAATTTGTGAGACGCAGAAAATTGGTCCACCACCTCTCTCACCAATTTTGTGCTTTATATGATATGATGATGGTCACTGAACATATTTCTATATAGAGAAAATATTTTATGTTTTCTATTATACTTTAAAATCATAAAAAATCCATCTTGTATTTTTTTTTCTCTTCACAATCACATGCATAAATATAAAACAAATCCATCTTAATTTTTAAAATAGGTAATATTTATGAATGTTGTTATAGAACATGTATCTGTGATTATACTTTACACAAATATTTATAAGAATTTTTTAAAAATAATTAAAAAATAAAAACCGACACTAAAAAAAAGAGATTTTTTTTTGTAAAAATCTATGCATACAACTAATTATAAAATATTTTTATAAAATATAGTAAAGAAATTTAAGTGATGGATAGGTTGCTAACCTTCTTGGCTTCCTCCATGAGTAAAACCCGGTCGGACCAAGAATCCAAGTTGAGCCGAATAAGCCGATCAATATCAAGAAGAAGATGATCTTTAATAATCGAAGAGTTAGCAAAACTCATAGTAAGTGAATGCATTCTCTTATGAAGAGAACCCTTCATGAGAAGCAGAGAGTGTTTACCTAAAAGGTTCGATATTGAACCGGGGTAACTACATTCAAAAAGCTTCCCTTCGTTCATCAAAATAAACCGGTTCGTTTCCGGGTCAGCTGAAAACACTGTCGGTTCGCCGAATATATGTGTTGTGAAGATTGAACCGTACCGGTTCATTCGCTTGTCGATAAAAGGCTCTGGGTTGTCGGTTTTGTAAGCTGATATTAGTTGTAGTGTTTCTCCGATAAAGGGTAGTCCTAGACTTCCCGGCGGGAGGTTGTATCTTCGCCGGAAAGTGCTCCGGTAGATTATAATAATGACAGTGGAGATTATAAGGAAGAAGAGTATAATTGCCATGGAAACGATGAACAGAGAAAGTCGCAGTAACTTGTGTTATATGTATATAAGTGAATGGTGTTTTTATATATAGAAAAAGCTTTTGAGAGAGAGAGAGATGGGGGGTGGGGGTGGTGATGGTTTCAAGAAGGGGAATTAATGGATGGGGGAAGAAGTGAAAGCAGCACACGGGGGCATCGGGAGAGAATCTAAAAAGGGAAGAAGGATTTGGCAGAAAAAGTTAATGTTGGATATTTTCGTATATATGTCTGACACTAATTGTTGGCTCTAATTTTGTAACTTAGATTTACACTTCCATAATGGATGCTGGGTTATAATGGAATTTCTCTTTATTTCATTTACTTTTTATATTTTTTTATATATATTTTTTTAAAAAATTTGTATATATTCTGTAAATTTATAAATAAAATTCACTTTTTTATAATTATCAAATTAATTTATCTAGTTTATATGTGGGTTAAATACATTAATGTCAAATTTACTAAAAAATTTAATTTTGTTTAAAAATTGTTACGGAGAAAATACGTGGTTTGTTAACTTAGAGGTTTATTTTACTAACATACATTTTAAAATATATCAAATTATTTTTTAGTTAAAATTTAATAAAATAGATTCTGAATATTATATATATATATATATATATATATATATATATATATATATATATATATATATATATATATATATATATATATATATAAAAGATATTTTATCTAAGTCAAAGTGACGAGAAGTCGGAAAGTAACAAATAAAGATGAGTTTAGAGGGAATGAGACTACTACCTACTCGAATAGGAAGATAGTGAGCCTTATAAGTCGAGTATATCCAAGCTCAGGGTCAAAGAGGTTATTCATTTGGGTACGAACTCGTCCTGTTGATGACCCATTCCTCTGGGTATGCACCCGTCCCGACGACAACCCTTCACGTGAAGCCGACTCCAAGTTTAATCGTAAGGGCAATAGACTAATTAATGCAGACATTATTGAAGGTAGAGAAAATACAAGAAATGAGAGTTTGAATTGTGTTCATAGAAAATATTCTCCATTAAAATTCTAAGCACTTAAATGATAATAGCAATAAAGATAATGAAGATAAAGGGCACAAGTATTTTATCAAGGTTCACCGTTAACTAGGTTACTCATGTCCACCCTCGCAAGGATGATTTCGCCTTATCCAAAGACTTAATCCAATATAATCAAATTGATTACAGTCGCACGGGCAACCACCGGTGACTAACATACAATGACACGTTCAGGGATCCGACCGAATATAACGTTCATTAACCCAATAGAATCTGATCTCTCAAGATCTCTTACCAGAATTTCCTTGCAATGATATCCATCACGGATCTCACAAGAGTTTGAAATTTCACTCGGTCCTCTTTGAGATATGACTAGCATTGACCCAACAGAATCTAATTCCTCAGAATCTCCTATCAGGATTTCTCATAATGACTAGCAGTCATTATCTTATTGAGATCAGACTTTGACTCAGTCTCTCAAGGAACCTTCCAATGATATATTCCGTGATCCAATCAGATATAACAATCATTGACCCAATAGAATCCGATCCCACAAAATCTCATATCAAGATTTCTCACAATGACCAACAACCATTGTCTTTTTGAGATCAAACATTCACTCAGTCTCTCAAGGAACCTTTCAATGATATATTTAGTGATCCAACCAGATATAAAATTCATTGACCAAATAGAATTTGATCTCGTAGAATCTCCTATCAGGATTTTCCACAATGTCCAACAGCCATTGGCTTTTTGAGATCAGACCTTCACTCATTCTCTCAAGGAATTAATCAACAAAAGTTGATGGGGTTTCTGTGTTTATATGGTTGCTTCTTCTAAGCAGATTACACAAAATATTTAAGCACATATTGTTTTACACTTCTACAAGCAACAACTCAAGTGTTAAAACAATTTACAAGAAGATATATGAACAAAAACACTATCTGAGAAAAACTCTAATGTTCATTATAATATTCTACAAAGATGTATATGATCAGAAGTTCAGTATCATCTTGTAGTGTTCTTCTTCATCTTCTTGTTGACCAAGCTACGAGCAACAACTCCTTGCTTTTTTTGAGATCTATCAACATGTATGTGATTGAAAGTAGAATAACATCTTGTATTCTTCTTCTTCTTTGAGCAAACTACAGGCAGCAGTTCCTTGCTTCTTCTGTTTCATCCAAAATGCATATGATGATAGTTGAATGGTATCTTGATGAAATCTTCTTTCTTTCTTTTTCTCTCTTCTTTAGTGGTCTTTAGTATGTATAGCATTGCAGCTTTAACATCTTCAGAGTCCACTGCTTTCCTTCCACAAGATGAATCTTGTTGGCCAATGGCAACCGTTAAATCGTTAACCAACAATTTATCTTTGAAGCTTTGATCTTCTTTTATAGCCCTTGACAGAGAGAGACATTATGAGGATATAACAGGCTTTTCCTGGTTAGTTCCCAACAAATAGAATAAGGTGTAAGAGTTTAGACAGTATAAAATAATATTTATGTATCCTGTCACTGTTCAATGATAGCTTTCCACCTTCTCCTCTGAATAATATTTTTCTATTAAGCTTACAAACATAGATCCATTAAGTAAAGAAATATAGTTGTAAATCCAGTTGTTTGTTCCCAACAGTCACAATGAGAGTGGTTGACAATACAATATAAAGGAATGTCCTTACGCCACCTTAGAGGATAGAGGTCACAGACACTTTATGTACGTTTTGCACAACATCACACGTTAACCATTTTAACTTTCTTCTTATCTTCAGTGGCTTCTGATATTTGAATGTTAACGTTGAAGCATGTTGTAGAAGAATCTTTCTTATGAGCCTTAGAACCTAAGTGTAACACGGTGGCATAACCGACTGTTATACTGGTTTTGCGTTTGTATTTGCAAATGTTGCGGTAAGCAAGTGTAACATCCCATTTCTACCCAACGTTTTAAATAAAATTAGAGTTATAAAAATTTCCAACAAATAAATGGAATGCTAAATTTTCAACTTGAAACTACGACATTCAATCATCTATAGTTCAGATACATAACACATGAATTTAGGATGACCGATAACAACCTGCTTAAACTTTAAAAATAAAAACAACTTTCATTACTACGCAGGGGATTCACAAAAGTCAACTGAAAAACACCATAACATCTTATCCAACTCAAAACAACTATAAGACAACAAGTCTTTAATGAAAACAACTTAAAAATTCAGCAACAAAAATAAATATCAACAACTAAATATCAAGCGTTCATCCCCCCGAGTGCTACGTATCAGAGCGACGACACCGACTCTAACTAACGAGGATAACATCTAACCTTCTTAATTACCTGCACGTTACCAACAGAGGGCAACATTCAAACTGAAGGGGTGAGATATCGAACCATATAATCGGATATACAATATATAATATCTTAGGATTAGATCATACAATTCACCACTTCACAGTTTTTTATCAACATCTTTAATCTCAACAAAACATCAACACGACATAACAACTAATTCACAACCATTAGATGATATATGTCACAACAAGTCAACAACATAAAGAAACAAAAAATCTATCTTCACCACAACTCAATATGCAACATCAAATGCGACTCAATTACAATGCACATGCATGTGGTACCATTGGAGCAGAACTCCCAACTTAAAAATCTGCCAATAAATAGAGGCATCAACCAGGCATAAGCCTTCATCGCAGTTTGCCATCAAGGCCAAGCGTAAGCCTTCATCGCTAGTTTTTCCAATCCAGGCCAACGTGGTGCCAATCCAGGCCAACTTAATAATGCAAATGTATGTGACTCAATGAATGCAACAATCACATACAACAATAACAATCACCGTCACAAAGGCATAAGCCTATATCATCACTTTACCAATAATTAGAGGTACTCATCGTCGCTTCAACACTGGCCATAGGCCTACAACTTAATCAACTTATCAATCACAACATATTCAACAACAACAATGTATTCGACAACGACTTATTCACATCATAACCAATTTCACAAACTCAATCATCTTCACATAAACTCATAATATATATATCATTATGCATGTGACTCACAACTCGATGCAACCAACGCAAATGCGGTACCGACTTGTGGACCCAAAGTTCCACCGCTTATTTTTCCACATAGGATCAAAGCCACTACGTCTATTTCCACTATAGGATCAATGTCTATTTTTTTTGTGAACCCAAGTTTCACCACCTATGTTCCCTTTCTGGTTCAAAGCCACTACGTCTATTTCCATTCAAGGATCAACGTCTATAAAATGTGAACCCATCGTTTCACCGTCTCTATTTCAAGACCAACCATGCCATGTAATGTACAATCAACAACTCGTATGCAATTAAGACCACTTCCGACCTTAACATACACATACCACATATTCCAACATAATGTAATACCAACAATTGTACATGCATTGCAAATATAATTCACAAATCAAGTAACATACAAGTTTAAACAATGTTACTTCCATGATTTATTCAAATCAAACACAATTCCGGTTAGCCCTTGAAAACGTCGAAATCTCAAAAAATAACTCAACCATAATTACCTACGCATTTAACTTAGTTACCCCGTCAAATTTCATTAATTTCCGGATAACTAATTTTTACCGCCTATACCGGCAAATTAGAAACAAACACAATTCCACAAACTGGAAGCATTCAACTTAATTCGACTTCACCTGCAAAATTCATATTTTTCAACAAAAATGCCACCCAACAGATCAACCAAAATTACTATCATAAACCGCATAATAATTCGGACTATTTGGGCTAAAATCGGTTAATTAATTATCGGCCAAAAATTATATTATTTCTATTTTTTTTAAATCCTACAAAATTATTTATTAAAGATATTAAATCATTATTATTAAATATTTCGTATTTGTAAACCGGAACGTAATTACTCCTTAAATTCGCTACAGTAACAAAACAATTTAATTCTCCTACATACTGCTTCT